CTGTTGTCAGGTCACGGAAAGTTTCTCCTGAAAGAGGGAGAATAAGGGGGAATGCTTCAGCCCCTTCTCAAAGGCCTTCGGAGGCAGTGGGATGACACCCAATGGCATCATTGGGCGTTGGATCGGGCCCTACGTCTTCTCTTGGAGCTTCAGTGGGTTTTTCTGTCCTTGCAATCTATGACTCTATGAATCTCTCTCTTTTGTGACACTAGGAGGAAATTGCAGTAGATGCTCACAACACAGTACCCCCCACGGGGATGTATTGGGCTGGGGTGCAGTCTCTCTAGGGAAGGGCTGACCACCCCCTTACTTGGAACATTTCAAATCAGGCTCTAAGTACTACTCACATCACAGAGTTTAAAGCCAGAAGGGGCCACTAGATCCTCTGGTCCAAACTCTCAACCCAAATGAAACATTAATTTAATGTCAATCAAAATATTTCACCTGACCCAAAACTAAACTTTTTCATTTTGCCAAAAAAATCCAATTTGTTTTTTGTTTGTTTGAGGTCGGCCCAAAATTATGACTATTTTTTTCAGTTCGGCCACCAAACCGAAAAACTAGGCCCATGAACAACACGACCTAAAAGGGCTTTACCAGGTGTTATTTCCATGGGGCAAAGCAAACACAACCAACGAGCTCCTGGCAATCTCCCTGCTAATTAAAGCAAGCACCAGGCAAACATGGGGAAAGTGCCACCAAGGGGCTTGTTTGCTTGAGCTTTAATTAAGCTGAGTGAGGCTAATGCAGTCTAGGGGGGGAAGTTAGAGGAAAGAATTGCTGGTGTGTATCTGCCTAGCCCTGCGTGCCAGGGGATCTGCCCACAGCAAGCTACATCCCTCTTTTAGCTAACTGCAGCTAAACCTCCCTCCCTCCCAGTTTTGTGTGGTGTTGGGGAAGCACTAGGGAGTGCTGTGCAGGGAGGAATGAGGGGTTTCTGGGTGCCCGGAGGCAGAGCCAGACTGGGTCCTGCCTTCCCACTGTACCCCTCTTCCCTCTGCTGCTAAGGCCTGAGCTCAGTGAACTGGGGATCAGGCCCCAACTCCCAGCACCTCCTGCGGTGGGAACCCAGCAGAGCAGGGAGGGTCCGTGGTGCTGCTCCAGTACTGGGCAGTGCTGGCAGCTGAGTGGGGGCCCTCCAGCCTAGCAGGGAGTCCCCTTTCGCCCAAGCGGAAGCAGCAGCCTGTGGCTTTAGAGCGGATGGGTCTGAGCCCCCGTGTCCTTGGAACGCTGGCAGAGAGAGAAGGGAGTGAGCGAGAGAGAGGCCCCTGCTAGAGCAGCAGCCAGGGCAGCACGAGCCTGTCGGGATTAGCTTGGTGTCCATTCCCAGCAAAGCTGGCGAATGGCCATCTCCAGCCAAGGCCTGGTTGTGTTGAGTAGCCCAGCCTGCTCCAAACAGCCGTGGGGTGGTTTCATTCCAGTGGGTGTGACTCACCTGGCAGCCAGCAGCTTAAGGGATACTTTCCCCCCAGCTTATTCATTGGCCAGCTCAGGACAACACCGAGGAATGCAGCATCTTAGCCCCCTGTCATGGCCGCTGTCAGGGTTCCCTCCCCACTCGACCCGCATGAAAGACCCCCTAAGCTTATTTCTACCAGGTTAAAAACTTCCCCAAGGCACAAATTCTTCCTTGTCCTTGGACGGTATTGCTGCCACCACCAAGTGAGTTAGACAAAGATTCAGGAAAAGGACCACTTGGAGTTCCTATTTCCCCAAAATATCCCCCCAAGACCCTTCACCCCCTTTCCTGGGGAGGCTTGAGAATAATATACCAACCAAATAGGTAAACAAGGTGAGCACAGACCAGACCCTTGGGTTTTTAGGACACTAAAAACCAATCCAGTTCTTAAAAGCAGAACTTTATTATAAAGAAAAAAAGTAAAAGAAGCACCTCTGTATAATCAGGATGGAAGGTAATTTTACAGGGTAATAAGATTTAAAACACAGAGGATTCCCCTCTAGGCAAAACTTCAAAGTTACAAAAAACAGGAATAAACCTCCCTCTTAGCACAGGGAAAATTCACAAGCTAAACAAAAGATAATCTAACACATTTCCTTGTTATTACTTACAATTTTTGTAATCTTGGATGCTTATTTCAGGTAGGGTTTTAGGAGATGGCTTTTCCTGCCCTGGTCCCTCTCTGTCCCCCAGAGCACAACAAAGAGAGCACAAAACAAAACCTCCCCCCACAGATTTGAAAGTATCTTCTCCCCTTATTGGTCCTTTGGTCAGGTGCCAACCAGGTTATTTGCGCTCCTTAACCCCTTGCAGGTAAAGGAGAGATTTTATGCTCCCTTTAGCTGTATGTTTATGACAGCCGCAATCCTGCAGTCAGAGCTGTACAGGTGGACTCGTGCACCCATAATAACAACAATGGCCTTGGATGCAGCCCCCACACTTTCTGTATTCCTGCTTCCAAGGCCCCATGGCTGGGACTGCAGGAGTGCTGAGCACGGCCCATGCAATGAAAACACCTCTGGACACACTGGTTTGATGGGCTGTCCCTGGAGAGGAAGGGGAGGGCTTTCTCTTCCAGCTGCTACCAGTGAACTTACCAAGTGGGATTCCTCCAGATGGCCCAGATCTTCCCTTGCTGGTCCTGGCTTATTAGCAAGGGGCTGAAGGGGAGGGCAGTGGAGCACTCCCCCACCATGCTGATGTAATAAACAGACAATTTATCATTGTGACAGCTCCTATCCTAACAGAGCTCTTGGGTTTCTGAGCGCTGTGAGTAGCACACAGGAAAGGCTTGTGGGTGGGTTTCCCACAGCATAAGAAGCAAGTTGGAAAGAACATAGGCTGTGCTATACTAGAGCGCTGTATGAGCGGCCAATGCCAGCTGCTACAGGAGGTGCAAATCCCCCATTATGCCTCTGATTGTGTGGGACTAGGTTGTGGGGAGTGTTTGCTTCCTGACCCCAGCTGATCATCACAGAGGATGAGGATGGCTAGCAAAGGGTAGTGCCCCTGTGTTTACTGCTGGGGTTACCAATGTGTTGCCTTCCTGAGAAAGAGTTCAAATCACTCAGAGATTCCCTCCCCCCTTTGGTGATGGTGATCCGTGGTAATTTAGCAGCATGTAAAGAAAGGTGTGTGTGAGGGAGATCGGCATGGGGAACAGGAGAATATGCAAAAGCCACGCAGAAATCCTAATGGTTTCTCCCTTCTCTGGCTGTCTGGGGAGGACTTTCTTGCAACAAGCTGAGCAGGCCTATCTGTGTGAGGGAGCAGGGTGGAATAGTGGTAAGCTAGAGCCACCATACATGGCAGTGCTGTGATGTATTCATTAATGCACTAGCTTTTCTCTCCCTAGACCTGGGTAAGGCCGTTAGTGGCATGAGTTCAATGGGCTGGGCTGAGTCCACAGCAGCGTTTTTCCCATATCACAGAACCACGGGCTGTTTCTGCTTAAGAGAAGCCTGGGACTAGGATAGCTGGGGGACTACAGGTTGGGATGGAGGGGCATTGGCAGAGCTGTGTGTGGAGCCCAGGATTGGAATAGCAGGGGGCTGCAGGCTGGCATTGAGAGCACTGGCAGAGTTGGCATGCATGCAATCTTCCCTAGCACCTGCTTGCACTCCCCTGATCCACCACTGCCAGCACTTTCAGACTTGCATGAAACTGATTGAAATTGACTTATCCTAGAGCCACAGTAAAAACACAGCCTGAAGAAACCAGGAGCCACAGGGTTTGCCAGCAACGTTAGCCCTGTAACCAGAGACTCTGGCCATAGCAGGAGGCAGCTCTTGGAGCTAGTCTGGTCACAGAATAGGACTCTCCAGGTGCTGCCTGCCTGCTGCATTGGCTCCTGTGCCGAGCTGTCCCTCACCTTTGAGCACAACTCTTGTAAAGCTCCCCCTAGCTTTTGGCTTCTCAGTCACTCCAGAGTCTCCTCTGGGTTTGTCTCGAGCAACTGCTCCAGTGCAAGTCTTGCTGTCCCGCCAGCAGCTGCTATTCCCACAGCAGGCTTCTTCCAGCTTACTTTGAAAGAGAAATCCTTTTAAGCTACTAGCTCCAAGGTCTGTGCTGGTGATGGGCTACTTCTGCAACGAGAGTGAAAAGGCCATTTCCCCAAGATGTGCAATAAACGTGCGGGCCTGATCTTTGTCCTAGTTGTACAACGCTTGTGTTCACAGTCCCCTGGTGTTGTATGGCGGGTGTGCTCAGGGCTTTAGGGGGTTGATAGCAGGCCTTTAAATTGTCCCTGTGGTGATGGTGCCATCGTGTGGTCGTTTGAAAGATGGATGCTTTCTTACAACACCCTCCGTCTCTGTCCTTTCGTCGGCTCCCTTGCCAATACTCCCTAGGTCAGATGCTCCTCTCGTGGCCTGGGCAGCGATGAGCGTACCCTGGCTTTAACTGCCTGCCCGCGCCCAGGTTCCAGTTCTCAGCCCCCCTCTGCCCGGCGGAGATCAGGGTGCGATTTTCAGAAGAGCCGGTCTCCCATTCAGGTAAGGGGGGGGGAAGCGTTGGGATGGCAAATTGGCAAGCGCCGTGCCCAGCACCGGGGAGGCTCTTGCCATCAGCGCCGCGGTGGGAGCTGCTGGGCACCGCGCTCTGAAGCCTGCGCTTTCCCAGGGCCCGATTTTCAGAAGCTAGGTGCGGGGCGGGCGCAGGGCAAGGGGCGAGCGCGCAGCGCGGCGGGACATCGGGCTCTTGAGTGGCAGGACAGGGGCAGGCTGGCCCCTGGCTGGACTCGGGAACCCACACCATGGGCTGGCGGGGGAGAGAGGCGGGGTGACCCCAGCGTTTTCCGCGCCTCCCGGCAGGGGACCCGCCACCGGCGCCATGCGCCCGGAGATGGGGGCCTGGCGAAGCCCCTGCACCCCCGAGACTTATCTCACGCTGCCGTCGGCCTGACAACCGCGGCCGGGACTTATCTCCCGCCCCTTCCTCTCTCCGGACGCCTGCGCTATGGGTCGCGCCGCGATGACGTATGGGGCTGGGGGCGTGGCCGGAGGCGGATGGGCTTGTGGGGCCCGAACGTCCGGGCAGCGGAGGGGGGAGGGGCCGGACATGGCGCTGGCTGAGGCCGGGCCCGGGGGACGATGAATAAGGGCTGGCTGGAGCTGGAGAGCGACCCCGGTGAGGCGGGGGAGGGCAGGACTATGGGGGGAAAGCGAGGGGGGTTGTGGGGCTGCACACGGGTTGTGGGGGGAGGGCCATGGGGATCCATAGGGGAGGGGGGCTTCTGGGGCTAGACAAGGGGAGGGACTGGGTAAGGCAGGGTGTGTGGGATGAGCAACTTTCCCCAAAACGGGATAGGAGCCAGTGAGACAGTTAAAGAAAAGGGCTGAAGCCCCGATTGCCTGGGCCCCTCTCTGGTTAATCCCTTGATATTGGCCTCCCAGCCTCAGTTTTTAGGCTGGTGATGTCCCTGGGCATCGCTGATAGACTCCTACGTGCACACAGTAACAGCTCTCGGGGGTGTCCAGAAAATAGCTCCTAGCCAAGGCTGAGAGATGGGCTCTCAGAAATGGAGGGTAGCATGGGACCAGTATTCAAAACACCAGGAGTGTACTGAAATAGTCATTTTAACTCACCGTTGATCCAGACATCTTTAGATGGCTCAGGACAGTAGGTGTATGAGTGAGCTATCAGGCTGTGAACACCGACGGGATTCCCCGCTGTTCTGTGTTGTGATAAAATTATACTCGCCCTGGGCAATTATATGTATCCACACCAGCACTTAGGTCAGCGTAACTTATGTCACTCGGGGGTGAATTGTTCACACCCCGAGCGACAAAAGTTATGCCAATGTAAGTGGCAGTGCAGACGTGGTCTAAGTTAGGGTATCCTTTCAATTCATCATCATCATGTATTGCATCAGCTGCATGATTACTTTGCTGTGACTCAACATTATTCTTCCTCCCCACCGTGGATTCTTGGTTTCTTGGGAGGATGGAGAGGGAACTTGGGGTCTTCAGGCCATTTGCTTTGAGTTACGTGCCCTGTACTGGTAGCTTCCCTTCAGAACTTCTAATCTAAAAAGCCCCTGCCCCTGGATCAACCAGGATGGTAGGCCAGTTCTCTGCGATGGATGCTGAAGTAACTGCTGAATGCATGAAGTGAAATGAAAGTGATTTTAGAGGTTGCAGATAAATCAGAAGCAAAACTTGTGAAGTCAAAACTAGCCTCATCTGCCTACATCGATCCCTAGTATTGTACTACATGTTCTTGAAGAACAGCCTGGGAAACGTAAGATATCCAGCGTTGTGGCACCCTCAAAAGGTGGTCAGACTAGATGATTTGGTGGTCTCCTATGGCTGTAAATTCTATGTGTCTGTCTACACTGCAGCTGGGAGGTGTAATTCGGATCAAGCTAATGTGCTAAAAACTGCTGTGTGGCTGCGGCAGCACTGGTGGCGGCTTGGGCTAGCTGCCTAAATACAATCCATTCAAGGTTTTAGGTATGTACTCGACTGGCTAGCCCGTGTGTGTATGTCTAGCTGAGCTGGGAATTACCCTGCCCAGCTGCAGTGTAGACATACACTTAGAGTCTATGAGGAGAAAGGCCCCCCGTGCGCTCCAGGGCTTGCATTCCTCAGGGCTGAGTTACAGAAACTGGGGGATTCTTAGCTCAGTTTTGCTCTTATAGCTCTGTCTGCAGCCCTGAGCGCTGTTTATATATAGACCAAAACCCTCCAAGTCTTGGCTCTTGTCCTGTCCTGTTGTTGGACAGAGACATGCAAATATTGCCCTGCAAATAAACCTGAGGCTGTGGTGTAGAGTGCATCTTTTATATTGTGTGCTCTGATGAGCGTTGTTGTAATTGATATACCATAACTTTTATCTCTGTGGTTTCAAGGAGAGAATCCTTTTATTAGGCTAGGACATCGCATTTATGTATGGACTTCAATTCTATTACTTTTTGGTCCTTGAATCGTTCTTCTCTGAACTCTTTCCAGTACATAGTAGTCCATGAATGGTCTCTCTGATGTCATATACAGAACCACCTCCCTACATCTACTTGATCTTCCTCCTGCTTAAACACCTGAGGTTCATGTTAGCCTTCTTAGCTACAGCATCACACTGGCAACTCATGTTTGTTTGGCTGTTTACCACAGTCTTGGTGTCATTGCATTCCAGGATAGTGTCTCTCATCTTGTACATGTGGGAAACAAGTTTTCTACCAGCTGGACCTAGCTTATGGTACTCACTCCCACAAGAAAGAAGAATGAAGACATGTTCCACAGCTCTCAGATCTAAATGGCAAACTAATTTCTTTGATCTAGCTTTCCTGTAATAAGTTATTCTTCTACTTTCAAACAAACGTAAATAAATAAAATATCCTATAAACAAATTAAGCTCCTCCTCCTACTGATGGGAAGAAAGCGAGATGATTTCTCTTTTTAAATGCTTGGGAGGCTCCTACTATGATGGACTCATATCACTTCCTAGATAGTTTGGTGGCAGTAGTGGGTCAATCATAGAATATTAGGGTTGGAAGAGACCTCAGGAGGTCATCTAGTCCAATCCGCTGCTCAGAGCAGGACCAACACCAACTAAATCATCCCAGTCAGGGCTTTGTCAAGCTGGACCTTAAAAACCTCTAAGGATGGATATTCCACTACCTCCCTAGGTAACCCATTCCAGTGCTTCCTATTAGTGTTTCCTAATATCCATCCTAGACCTCCCCCACTGCAACTTGAGACCATTGCTTCTTGTTCTGTCATCTGCCACCACTGAAAACAGCCGAGCTCTATCCTCTTTGGAACCCCCCTTCAGGTAGTTGAAAGTAGCTATCAAATCCCCCCTCACTCTTCTCTTTTGCAGACTAAATAACCCCAGTTCCCTCAGCCTCTCTTCGTAAATCATGTGCCCCAGCCCCCTAATCATTTTTGTTTCATCAATCATTTTCGTCAATACCTTGACGTGTAGGTATCCTCTCCACCACCAGGGCTGAGCAGGAAGATCAGGTTGGGAAGAAGGTCTCCTAAAAATGTTAAACCCAAAATATTTAAAAAAATCTCTATTCAGGCAGCATGAGCCAGGAAACCACTTGGGTAAGAACTATGGGGCAGTGTCCAGGTCAGGAGCAAATCTTGTTGTGGTGCATTATTTTTAATCACAATTCCAAACTTATAGTTTCCTTCAAAATTTGCCATGGGAGCCCTACAGCACTAGTCAGAGGTAAGGGGCAGAAGATTCTCTGTCTGCCTTTCATGTAGCAGCGTGAACTTCGCAGCCAGAAGTAATCTCTCTGTTTTGTTCCTCTTCAGGTCTCTTCACCCTGTTAGTAGAGGATTTTGGTGAGTACGAGAGCTTTTCTGCAAGATGGGTTTCATCTGTGACATGGGCTCTGGCTCCCTTCTGCTGGTCTCATCGCACTGATTCCTGCTCTCTTTTTTTTGTAGGAGTTAAAGGGGTGCAGGTTGAGGAGATCTATGATCTACAAAGCAAATGCCAGGGGTAAGTTACTCACTCAGCAGCACGACTTGCTGAAGTAGATTTCATCAAGCAAAAACTTCTCAGGGCATGTCTACGCAGAGTAGTAACACGGCCTACGGGGGTGTGATTTCTAAAGGCACTAATATGTTGGCATTAATTGGTTTTGTAGACCCTACTGCGCACTAAAAGTTCCCTATTTCACATTAATGCAGTGCTGTTCAGTATGACGTTAACATGTACTAGAGAGCTTTTAGTTCGCACCAGCATGGTCTACAGCAGGGGTCTCAAACACGCGGCCCAGGGGCCACATGCGGCCCGTGGGGTTGTTTTCTGCGGCCCGCGAGTTCCTCGCATCCCCCCCCCCCAGCATTTACCTAGAGCGGCTACAGCCCGACGCGCACCAGGGGAAGGGCAGGCAGCCTGCCTGCCCTGCCCCCTGCCGCTCCGGGAAGCGGCCGGAACGTGGGGAAGGGGGGGCACAGGGGTCTGTGTGTTGCTCTTGCTTCAGGCAGCGCCCCCAGCAGCTCCCATTGGCCGCAGTTCCCTGTTCCCGGCCAATGGGAGCTGCTGGGGGTGGTGCCTGAAGCAACAGCAACACACAGACCCCTGTGCCCCTCCTCCCCCAGGTTCCGCCCGCTTCCCGGAGCGGTGCGGGGACAGGCAGGCAGGCGGCCTGCCCTGCCCCCGGTGCATGTCGGGCCGGAGCCTGCCCCCTGAGCCCCTCCTGCAGCCCAACCCCGTGCTGTACCCCACACCCCAACTCCCTGCCCTGAGCCCCACACCCCTCCTATCCTCCCTGGGGGCAGGAAGGGGGCAGAGTTGGGGTGGGGATTTCAGGGAAGGGGTTGGAATGGGGGCAGGGCCTCATGGAAGGGGTGGAGTAGGGGCGGGGCCAAGGGTGGCAGGGGGAGGTGTCAGTAATGCGGCCCTCGGCCAATGTACTAGTCCTCATGTGACCCTCATGGTCATTTGAGTTTGAGACCCCTGGTCTACAGGGACCAATGAATGCGCAGATGTTAGTGTGTTTTAGGAATCATATCCCCATAGTCCACCTGTAGACGTGCCCTGAGAGTCTGGGAGCTCCCCTCGAGCAGTTCTGAAGGGCCGACTTGTCACTGTATCAGATTTCTACAGTGGTTTGTGTCATAGACACTTAACAGGGAAGTTCTGAAAAGTGTTTGGTCAGACTTGGGAGGTAGGATGTGTGATCAGTCTTCCTGCTTGGTCAAGAGGAGGAGGTGGAAGGAGGAGGAGTGAGGTTTTTGGGAGAAGGTTAACCCATGGCAGTGCTGTGGGATGGGGACTCCAGGCGGGTACCAGAATAACAGTATGTGTAGAGAAAGATCCCGCAGGGTCACAGGGGATGGATTTCAGGGGGTTAGTATTCTTTGTCTTCTCCACTGGCAGAGGCAATTTCAAGTCTGCAAACAGTGGCTGATGTGGTTTTTCTTGATGGTTAGAAATAAAGTCAAGCATCTAAGAGTGAGCCACCAGGGCGCTCCCACGAAGCTAATGCCTCACCCTGCTCAAAAACATTACACTGCAAACCTAGTGTAGTACAGTATGAAATACTGGGTCATCTGATGATGACCCGGCTACACTGCGGGACACAGAGAGGCATCCCTCTCCTGCTTTGAGCAGGGGGTTGGACTAGATGACCTCCTGAGGTCTCTTCCAACCCTGATATTCTATGATTCTCTGATTCCCCGGAGAGTGTGTAACTGCCCCACTCCATAGGGTCTCCTTATTACTGTACTGTGGGTTTCCATTAAATCACAAAGATTACAGACTTGGGTGCTCTCTGAGATGCCTGGTTTGAATATCAGACTAGAATAATCAGCTGGAGTGTGGGGAACAAGGACAGCTGTGGCACTTCCCAGTCGGATGGGGGTTGGCTTTAATGCCTCTCCTTTTTTCTCCCCACAAATTGTGGTTTAAACTGAAAACGCCTCTGGTGCTTGACTGACTGGAGCGGCACAGTTCATGTTGATGGAAACCCTTCTAAACTGGTCAGCTGCTAACTCCACCCCCATTGCATTTCTTTCCCTGCCAGTCCAGTGTACGGGTTCATCTTCCTCTTCAAATGGATCGAAGAGCGCCGGTCCCGCCGGAAGGTCTCCACCCTGGTGGACGAGACATCGGTGATTGACGATGACATCGTCAATAATATGTTCTTTGCTCATCAGGTAGGTTGGCTGGGAGTGGAGGGCAAGGCGTGTCTCTCTGGACGCCGCTGCGGGAGAGTGGGCAGTGAGGACTCTTTCATGCTTTGGTATAATCTGTATCTACACAAAATGTGGAAGACTTGGGAAGGAATGGTCAATAGGTATAGAGTAGTTACCCCGGTTGGTAGAAAGCATGGTTCTGTGGGGATTGTACACTTAGCCTATCGCTGATCAGGAGTCCTTGTCCCAGCTTGGGTTTGGCTTTTATATTAGTCACCCAGGTGTATTTTGGGACATAATGAAGGCAGCAGCTATCTGAGGGGCAGTTGGAAATGGGGACCGAACAACAGAGATTGGGAGATTTGAGAGTCCTGGACAGTGGGGATATGTGAAACTAACACTTTCCCTGGATCACTCCTTAACACATGGCTGGTAGGAAAGGCCAGAGGACTTGCTTGGGATCTAGCATTTCTTTGGAGCCCAGAGTGCTGTGCTGAGTGCACAAGGCGTGCAGCCTGCTCTGGAGAAAGGGATCAGGAGTTTAGCCAGCATTGTGATCTTGCAGAGCATCAACTGATGTGTTTGGTATAGTCCCATGCTGGAGGTGAATCAGGGGGGTTTCGCAGCATTTTGGGAGAAGGACGCTTAAATGAGTGCAACTCCAGCCCTCAAATGTTCTGGAACTGCATTCTCCCATGGTGCCATGTTTTCTGTAAACTTTATTAAATGGCTGTATGTCTAGCTTCTTCCCTTGTCCGCTCCGGGACCTTGCAGCAGGCTGGAAGGGTTTAGGGAATCCAAGTCAGCTGTTACAACAGAGGTCCAGTCAATCTGCACGAGGCCTGGCCTTTGCCTTTGCCTTGAACAGCTGCTCACAGGGGTATGGTGTGATTGACCTGGGGACACTGACCGGGCCAGGGGTTGTGTTGGTCAATTTAGTGCTCCAGGCAGCTGTTGTGCTATTTTTCGGCACCAGTTACTGCAGGGTGCTGAGTAACTCCCAGGTGGTGATGCTGAAGTATCATCCTGTTTCTGTTGTTTAACTTGGTCTATTTGCCCTTTAGCTGATTCCCAATTCCTGTGCCACCCATGCCTTGTTGAGTGTCCTCCTGAACTGCAGCAATGTGGACCTGGGGCCGACGCTGAGTCGCATGAAGGATTTCACCAAGGGGTTCAGCCCAGAGGTACGGGGTGGCCTGTGGCAGTGGGGCTTTGGAGGAGCATCTGAGGGATGCGTCTTGCAGTGGGGACCCTGCTTCTTTCCTGTGAGGTTTTTGTAAAGGGATGGCTCCTTAGGTAGTCATTCCCTCACCCAAGCTTCTGGTCTCATTCTTCCCCCTTTGTTCTTACGTTCTTCCTAATCCTTTCTCCTTACTTCCCCCTTAGTCTATCTCCTTAGCTCTTGCCTAGCTCTGTGCTGTCCCCTAGGTCTGGAATATTCTCCATACCCTCTAGCCAAGCACCCACCTCTTCAAGCACTTCCTCCTTCCTTCCCCACAGTAATGCCCTTGGCCTCCTCCTCTGGAACTGGTACTATGTCTTTACCTTGGGTTTGTCTCTCCAGGTCATGATTCATTCTTGTAAAGCCCTGTGTAAATCTGTTAATGAGGTGCCCACAGATGAGGGAGGCGTTTCCAGAGACATGGATTAGAGGTGCTGAGTTGAGGGATTCCAGCTATCGCGTCCCTCCACCTCAGGGGTTTTTATAATCTCCCTTTGCTTTTTGCAGAGTAAAGGCTATGCCATTGGGAATGCTCCGGAACTGGCCAAGGCCCATAACAGCCATGCCAGGTGAGTGTGGGTGTCCCCAGCAGCTCTGCTTCCTGGGGGAAGGGCGGTTGCTGCTGCTGCATTGACCTCTCGGATGTATTGCCTTTGCAGGCCAGAGCCTCGGCACCTGCCCGAAAAGCAGAATGGAATCAGCGCTGTGCGGACCATGGAGGCTTTTCACTTCGTCAGTTACGTTCCCATCAAGGGGCGGCTCTTCGAGCTGGACGGGCTGAAGGTCTATCCCATCGACCATGGTAAGGAGCCCCAGCAGCCACAGGGATGTCTAGAAAAGACCTCGCCTGTGTGTGACCCCAGGACATAACACTTGCTGTGTATGTTTCCTTGACGTTGCTGGAGCACATACAGTGACCACTTGCATCACACCTGACATCTCATTAGGCTCATTGAATTGACCTTCCTGATGGGCATCTCCCTCTGGCACTGGGCCCAGTCCTAATCAACATATTCCTCAATGATCTGGAAAAAGGGGTAAACAGTGAAGTAGCAAAATTTGCAGATGCTACAAAACTACTCAAGATAATTAAGTCCAAAGCAGACTGTGAAAAGTTACAAAGGGATTCCACAAAACTGGGTGACTGGGCAACAAAATGGCAGATAAAAGTCAGTGTTGATAAATGCAAAGTAATGCACATTGGAAAACCATAATCCCAACTATACATATAAAACGATGGGGTCTAAATTAGCTGTTACCACTTGAGAGATCTTGGAGTCGTGGATAGTTCTCTGAAAACATCCACTCAATGTGCAGCAACAGTCAAAAAAACGAACCGAAGGTTGGGAATCATTAAGAAAGGAATAGATAATAAGACAAAAAATATCATATTGCATGTATATAAATCCATGGTGTGTCCACATCTTGAATACTGCGTGCAGATGTGGTCGCCCCATCTCCAAAAAGGTATATTGGAAAAAAGTTCAGAAAAGGGCAACAAAAATGATTAGGGGTATGGAACAGCTTCCATGTGAGGAGAGATTAATAAGACTGGGACTTTTCATCTTGGAAAAGAGATGACTAAGGGGGGGG